GCGCGGGAGGGACGACGGGACCAGACGTGAGACGGAGGCGTGCGGTCAGGAGACAGAGGAGGGGACACAGGGGGGGAACGAGGGGGAAAACGAGCCGGGAACGAGTCCGGCGGAGGGAACACAGGGCCGTAGACGGGAAGAGGAGGAGACGGCCGGGGAGGAACAGACGCAGGGTCAGGGGACGGGAGGCCGAGCTGGCGAAGGGCTGACACCGTCGGGGACTACTGCTGCGGTGGCACAACGCCGACACCGGGACTGCAAGCTGCTCCTCGGCTACCACCGGCACACTCCACGCCAGCACCCCCAGAGGGAACACCCCCAGGGCCTGAAGCCCCTCGAGGACCGGTACCACCCCCAGGGCTACCGGGACTAGCACGCACTCCAACGCCAGCACCCCCACAGTCAACGAACAGGTGCTGCGACGGCGGCGGCGGCGGCAGCGACAACGATGGCTGCAGCGGCGGCAGCTGAGGTGACAACGGCTGCAGAGGCGGCGGGGGAGGGGACTCCTGGGGAGGGGCAGCCGGCGAGGACTGAGCCGCAGGACCACCAGAGTCAGAAGACTCCTCAACCGGGACCACCGACGGAAGAGGGGTGACGTGGGACACACCAGAGGGGGCAGGACGGGGAGGAGGAGGGGGGGGGGGGCAGTGACTACTGGGGGGGGAGTGACCAGGAACAGGGGGGGAAAACCGGGGGACCGCAGTGGGGGAAGCGACGGTAGAAGGAGAAGGACTCGTCAAAGGTGACGTCCCGAGAGTGAAAGAAGCGGTGAGACGGCGGGTGGTAGAAGTGCCAGTCGGACGCGTCAAGGGGAAAACCGAGGAAGACGCAGGGAAGGGTGCGGGCAGTGAGCTTGTCCGTGCCGGAGGCACGGACGTGAGCAAGGCAGCCCCAGATGCGGAACGCAGATGCGTCACCAGGAGACCCAGTCCAAAGACGGGTCGGCGAAACCTGCGGCTGCTGGGGGTGCGGCCACAGGTTAAGCTGGTGAGGAGCGTAGCGCACAGCGAACGGCCACAGAAAATGGGGTGCACTGGCCTGGATCATGGAGGTGCGAGCCACCTCCATGACCAAACCGATGCGTCGCTCAGCGACCCCATTCTGCTGCGGGGAGTCCGGTAGGGTGAACATCTGGGTGATGCCCTCCGCACGACAAAAGCGACCAAGGACACCTGAGGCAAACTTGCCACCACGGTCGGAGTGAAGGCGCAAGACAGGGAGACCTCGGTGGACACGCGCAGAGACAAGCCAGGGGATGAGAGCGTCAGGCACGTCCGCCTTCCGCTCCAGGGGAAAGACCGAGGTGTAGCGAGTGAAGTCGTCGACAAGCACAAGGAAGTAGCGCTCTCGACGCAGCCCGTGGACGGGGGCGGGGCCCCAGACGTCCATGTGCAGGGTCTGCAGCGGCGCGGCGGTAGACGGAAAAGAGGAGGAGTGAGGGGCACGGCGAAGCCGACCCTCGACGCAAGGCGTGCAAGGTGGGGCTGGGGAGGAGGGAAAAGCGGGGAGAGAACCAGGGAGACCAAGGACGAGACCGTGCTGGGACATGTGACGCAGATGCGGGAGCGCAGGGTGACCTAGGCGGTGGTGCCAAAGGAGAGTCGGGTGAGTGAGGGACCGACAAGAGCAGGCAGCAGCAACCTGGGTAGACGCAGCCACCTGAGGGGTGCTCGAGCCGGGGGGGTCACGGTGTCCAGAGTGAACAGGCCGGACACCGGGTTCTGGGGGAACGTGGACAGGGGGGCACCAGTGGCGGCCTCGGTACAGACACCATACCGCTCGTGACCAGGGAACGTAGTGGTGACGCCAAGGTCCTGGAGGCAGCCGACACCAACTAGGTTCCCGGAGAACGAGGGGATATGCAGACCTGTAAGAGAGCCTGAGGAACCGCTGGGCAGGGAAGGGTGGTGGAACTGCGGGCGACTACCGGACCGCTGGAGGGGTCAGCAAGAGAAACGGCAGCAGGAACAGGAAGCGGCGTCAGTATAGTAGAGTCGCGGAAGAAGCACCGGGAAGCGCCAGAGTCCAAGGTGAAGGAAAGCGAAGCAGTGGCGTCCGGCGACGAGGCGACGGCGGAAGCACCAAGGCTAAACAAAGCAGGGGATCCTACGCATGACGCAGCAGGGGAGGCTAAGCTAGGCATACCTACACTAGACGACAGAGAGTAATAAGTGGGGAGCACACTAGAGTCATCAGCATACATCACATGCAGAGCAGAAACAATGGCATCCATGTCAATGTCAAAAATCTGAATCCTACGACTAAGCAAGCTGTGCCAGTCCGGGAGGTCCGGCGACGGGCCGAAGCGCTGACGAAACAGGTCGTCCAGGCGACGAAAACAGCGAGGAGTGGAGTGACCGATCTTACCGCAAACGAAGCCGCGGCGAGGACCGGTCTGGATCTGGTACTGACAACACATGCCTCCCGAACCACTACTCGGCACACCACCACGCGCCCGACCACCTCCAGTGCCAGGCCACCCGGGCGGGAGGACACTCGCCTGCCTCGTCTACGGCGGCTGCTGCGGAGGCTGCGGCTGCTGCGACTGCTGCGGCTGGTGCGGCTGCTGCTGCGACTGCAGAGGCGGCAGCTCCGTTGGACCGGGCAGGTTCCCCTCGTCCACTCCAGCACCAGACGACCCGACTCCACCACCACCCCCTCCTGCACCCCCGCCTCCTCCGCCGCGCCCAGCCTTGGGGCGGCGGCCCTTCCCCGAACGAAGCTGCGCTGCAGCAGCAGTCTCAGCCACAGCGACAGAACCGTCGGAGAAGGTACACTGAGCGGGGGCACAACCCTGAAAGATAGGGACCGGCACGGTACCGCTCGCCTGGGCGATGGAGCGGTGGCGGGTCTCGATAACAGTCAGGGTGTCTACAAAGTCGGGGAGGGTGAGCTCACCAGGGTGGATGCTAAGGAAGCGGTCGCGGGCGGCGGCAAGGCGGTCAGGGAGGCGGGTGGCAAGCAGGTAGAGGGTAGATGTCATGGGCGGCTGGTGGGCTCTAAGCTGTGTGTCAGTGCAGGCAGCGCGCCAGGCCTCATCTATCGAGCGCAGGTGGGCAGCTAGGTCAGAGACAGTGGGGAAAGACGCAAGGTCGGGAAAGAGCATCGGGAGGATCAGGCGACCCACCGAGGCAGCAGGCGGGGTGGAATAGCGCTTGATGACAGCATCTAGGTAAGCCTGGGCGGTAGTGATGGACCTAAAGCGAGGGCGCTCAGACGGGGGAAGGGCATTGCTAATGGAAAGCTGAGCGACAGCTTCTCGGGAAAGCCAGATAGAGCGCGCAAGGGCAGTGGCAGTAGTAGACTCGCGCTCAGCGGGTGTGGGGTCAGCGGGCAGAACAGCAGGGGGGTCTGGGCAGGGTAGCGTACCGTCAAGGTGTGCGGAAAGCGGGTGGCCATCCTGCCGATGACCAGTGAGGTGGCGACGGAGGTCGGCGAGCCACGCCTCGAACTCCAGAGGCTGGCCTTCAGCGTCGAAGCGAAGCTCCGCCGCCATCAGGAGCAGTGCAGGACTGTACAGTGCGGTGCAGTGCGGTGCAGGGCGGTGCAGTGCGGTGCAGCGCGGTGCAGCGCGGTGCAGGGCAGTACCGTGCAGTGCAGTGCGGTGCAGTGCGGTGCAGTGCGGTGCAGCATGGTGCAGTGCGGTGCAGGGCAGTACCGTGCAGTGCAGTGCGGTGCAGTGCTGTGCAGGGCGGTGCAGTGCGGTGCAGGTGATGAGGAACAATACCAGTGAGGATGCAGGGCCGGGGCAGGGACGACGAGCGGGCCGCACACAGCTCGGGGCAGGACGGGCGCGGGGGCCAGAAGCAGTGGGCACCAGGCCAACGGGACGGGCGCGGGGCCGGCTGGTACGGGCGCAGGGGCCGAGCAGGCGGGCGCGAAGGTCGCGAGGGCGGGCGCAGGGCCGGCTGGGACGAGCGCCAGGCAGGCACGGTAGGGCCAGGCAGGCGCGGCAGGGCCAGGCAGGCGCGGCGGGGCCAGGCAGGGCGCGACTAGGCCCAGGAGGGGCGCGACGGGGCTAGGCAGGGCGCGACGGGGCCAGGCGGTCGCGACGGGGCCAGGCAGGGCGCGACGGGGCTAAAAGGCGTGACGGGGCCCAGGTGGGGCGCGGCGGGGCCCAGAAGGGGCGCGACGGGGCTAGGGGGGAGGCGACGGGGCCCAGGAGGGGCGCGACTGGGCTAGGAGGCGCGGCAGGGCCAAGGAGGGGCGCGACTGGGCTAGGAGGCGCGACGGGGCCCAGGAGGGGCGCGACGGGGCTAGGAGGCGCGGCAGGGCCCAAGGGGGGCGCGACTGGGCTAGGAGGCGCAACGGGGCCCAGGAGGGGCGCGACGAGGCTAGGTGGCGCGGCAGGGCCCAAGAGGGGCGCGACTAGGCTAGGAGGCGCGACGGGGCCCAGGAGGGGCGCGACTGGGCTAGGAGGCGCGACGGGGCCCAGGAGGGGCGCGACTGGGCTAGGAGGCGCGACGGGGCCCAGGAGGGGCGCAACTGGGCTAGGAGGCGCGACGGGGCCCAGGAGGGGCGCGACGGGGCTAGGAGGCGCGGCAAGGCCCAGGAGGGGCGCGACTGGGCTAGGAGGCGCGACGGGGCCCAAGAGGGGCGCGACGGGGCTAGGAGGGGCGCGACGGGGCCTAGCTAGGGTACGGGCGGAAGCGGTAGGTGGGGGATCCTAACCTACGCGTGATACCATATTAAAGTGAGAAGTGAATGATTGAGTAGGGAGAGAGTACAGGTGAATATACCTAAGTGTTGTACCCTCTAAGAGGTGGCCCTACTCAGTCTATGCAAACATAGTAGATACACATGTTTGACAGTAGGGCGCTAGGGGCGGGGTGCTAGGGGCTGGCGGGGTGCACGAAGGCTAGGGCGAGGGGCGGAGGCGAGTGGACGGACCTAACCTACAGTGTTACCATGTTAGAAAAGGAGAACGATTAGAAACAAGAGAGAACAAGGGAGATATAGGGTTGGAGTTGTACCCTCTAAGTACACAAACCTATCTAGCCTAAAACTTCTGCATACAAATATGAATAAGTTGATAGATATTCCTTCTTGTCCCAATGGTTAGGACTGCTGACTTTATGACTTGAAGTACCATACCATCTGACCACGGTACAAACAGCTGCTGCGCACACTATCAGAGCGGCTGTACCACATATGGAAGTAGAAAATTACCACAAACATGACCACAATCACGACATCACACTGCCATGGCAATCAAGTCAGATAGGTCCTGCCCTAGCTTGCCAGGCCTGCTCTGCCTGCCTCCCAACTCTCCCCTCCCTCCCTTGCGCCATCCCCTGATCAAGCAACATTACTTTCCCGTCCCATCCCATCGCATTCCTTGGTATCTTCCTTTCACCCTCCAGCTCTGCGCGCGTGCAGAGTCAATGCAGCGTACTTCAAGTCTTGTACTGAGCCACGGCCGTTGCCTAACCCCGATGGGATGATGAGTGGGCTGTTCCCTCCTACCCTTTGCTCGGCTCACACACTGTATCGTCCCTCCCTCTGCTCTCATCCTCCCCTACGCCACACGTGTGAGTCGCAGCAGGTACTTGTACACGGTAACAGGCTTGTCGCCAAACCCTAGGGAAATGACCTCTGCTGCAGTGAGCCGCGACTGGCTGTCCCCGGCTAACCCCCCCACCACAGGGAACATGGACACACGCTGAAACGCCTGCAGAGAGTTTGTTGGGGGGTCAGAGTTGAGGGGTTAGGCAGCTGAGGCAAGTGGGGTGGGTGGGATCATGGATCCACCTCCCTCCCTCCCCCAACCACAGGGAAAATGGACATACGCTGAAACGCCTGCAGGGTTTAGGGGTCAGAGGGCAGGGGCAGGGGCAGGGAAGGGGTTTAGGAGAGCACGGAATGGGCAGAAGGGCAAGAAGGGCAGGGGGGCAGAGCGGCGGGGGGTGCATGGAAATTGGAGGACGACAGAGAGGCGTAGGGATGAGAGGCCAAATTTCTGTGGAGAAGTGCAATGTGGATATGTGCAGTGTGGATATACGCCTGAAGGGTTTGGGGTTCAAGAACACACTGTGGCGCTGAGGTGTGGACATGGACGGGAAGGGGGGTGTGTGAGTGCGTGCATGTGGGTGCGCACACGCATGTGTGCGTGTGTGAGTGAACGAGAAAATTGTGGGAGCATGGCGAATGAGGGGAAGGTGAGGCAGGGGGACGGCAGGGGTGGTAGTACTTACAACAATCTCCTTCACTTGTCCGGTTGTCTTGTCCTCTTCGTCCCACTGATACCGAGTCAGATTGCTGGATGCCTGAGTGTTGTTGTTGCATGGCACACAGCATGGGATGGCATGGCATGGCATGGGATGGCATGGCATGGGATGGCATGGCATGGGGTGGGGCGGCATCACATGGCATGGGACAGAGGAACAGTGCTCGAAATAGACAGGTAGGGGAAGGGAATAACGCATCAGAACATCATGTGAAACACCTGGCGTATTGACAGATATATGAAAGCAGTAGGTGAGAAACAGGTGGGCTACAGAAATACAGCAGCAGTGGCTGTAGTTACCTTGACGGACGGAGGGCCATCTAAGACAGTTGGGTTGTCAAACACCTGATGGATGGATTGGTAACACGTGGTAGGAGAGGGAGAGGGGGTTGAAAGTTAAGATAGGCAACTGGCTTGAATCAACAAGGTCTGCTTGATCAATTGGGTTTAAAGTTAAGGGTTTAGGTTTTCGGGTAAGCGAAGTGAGGGAAACGACGGAGGTGGGGGAGGGAGTGTTTTGAGTCGACTCAAAAGGTGTGTTTTGATGTGTGTTTTGAGTCGACACAAAGCAAACGAGGCGGATGGGATAGGCAACTGGCTTGAATGATCAAGGTCTGCTTGATCACTCGGGGATAGGGGGAAGTGAGGGAAACGCCGGAGATTGGTGAGGGAGTGGGTGGGTGGGAGGGAGGGGGGAATATGGCAACGACGACAGTGACCCACGTCACCTACCTGCCCATCCACCCAGGCATCCACCCTCACCCACATCCACCCTCACCCACGTCACCCTGCTTCCTTCCCTTCCTCTGCATCAGCATTCCCATGCCTCCACTCATCCTGCTTTCCTTGTCTTGCGCCCCTGACATCATACCTGCTGCGAGTACTCAAACACATGGAACTGGTTGGAAGGGAATACCGTACCGTGCATTGGTGTGGTGGACGCACCTGCTATACCGCAACACCTGCCCTGCCCTGCCCTGCCCTGCCCTTCACGTTTCTGCATACATTCCCTTCTCCTTTCCCTTAACCCCTGGCAGCGTACCTGCTGCGAGTACTCGAACACGTCGAACTGGTTGGGTGATGACATCTCGTATGAGCGCCGTGTGATCACACTCTGCACCTGGTGTCACCATGCCACCATGCCACCATGCCACCATGCCACCATGCCCCCATGCCACCATGCCACCATGCCACCATGCCACCATGCCACCATGCCAACACAGCAGGCAACAGTAGCAGAGGTCTCAATCGCTTAAAAGGTGACTGAGCAAGCGGAGGCGGATCTGGGACCAAGCTTCCCTGCCCACCACCCTCGGGGGCCTGGGGATCAGCAACCCTGCCGTGGAAGCTAGCCCGAGCTACCTTACCAGCGCCGCAGCTTCTGCCCATCTGTTGACCGACCTGACTGAAGTACCGCAGGCGGTGGCTAGCCTGCTCGCGCAGTTCGCCCCTTAAGCTGCTGCTGCCGCGCCGTTCCCCCGCCGCCTCGCCTCCCTCGAGACCGCCCTTCTCCCTGCAGCTGCTGAGCTGCTGAGCTGCTGCGGCGCGAGCGCGCCTCCCCGGACCTGCCCAAGCTGCAGCGTGCTCTGGCGCTGCAAGTGCAGGCGGAGCGTTATACGCTCCTGCTTGACCAGGCTCGCCAGATGCCGCTCAACTGGCTACAGGGGCACACTCAACGCCTCCTGTCCTTGGTGGGCCCTGGGGCTGGCGATTGGCTCCACGCCTCCCGATGGCTTCCGCCTTGCGCCTCTCCCCCGGCCAGTTCTCCACGGCGGTCGCCTTCCGCCTCGCCCTCCCGTTCTCGACGCCCCACGTGTATGACTGCCCCAAGCGCAAGCCCATCCACGATCCCCGCTTGCCCAACCACCTCCTCAGGTGTGCCAAGGGCCCTGGACGAACGAGCACCCATCACGGTCTTCGTGATGAGTGCGCTCGCATAGCCACTGAGGCCGGCTTCATCACACGCATGGAGACCAACCTCTTCTCGAGGTTGGCCAACTTGTGGGCGGACGTCGCCATCCGCCACCCCTACACGGGGGCGGTATGGCTGTGTGACGTCACTGTCACCGATCCTATCTCCAAAGAGGACCCACACGCCCACAAGGGGACCGGCTGGGCTGCACGGGTGACGGCCCGGGGGAAGGAAAATAAGTACAGCCCTCCAGCTCGGGACGAGTAGGTTGGCTTCTTTGCCATGGCGGCTGAGACTTTGGGCTCACCTCGCCGGGGGTCTTCGGGTTCCTCCGCCAATGCGCGGAGCTAGCCGCGAAGAGGCGGTACAACGCAGCACCTACCGCGCGCGAAGCTGCCAAGCTCTTCCACGAGTACCGGCAGCGGTGGTCCGTCACTCTCCAGCGGGGGCAAGTGGTGGCGCTGAACACCAAGATCAACCACGCCCTGGCGGCCGAGGAGGCGCCCTGGGGCATGCGGGCGGAGCCGCTGCCCGTGGGTTATCTTCTTCAAGTACTCGAGCCGGTGCTGGAGGACCCTTAAGGTCCTCCGGCCCGGGCTGTTAGGACTTACCTTTGTGGTTGTCCTTATGCCTTGCGTGTACTTATCTTCTAATTAATACAACGGACCAATTGAGTGAGAGAGAGCAAAAGCGAGTGAGGTAGAGAGTAGGAGTGTGAGAGGGAGCAGCGGACCTTATAGCCTCCCTTGAGAGTGAGGGAGAGCTGGTTGGGCCTTGAGGGCGACCAGTCAGCGTCCGCCACCACTCCCTTGCCCACTGTCGCCTCCACCAGCGACTGCCATGCACCATAGAAAGAAAAAGGCACCGTAGGTGGATCATGGGTGACTTTTGAGAATTCTCAAAAACACCGTAGGTGGATCATGGGTGATTGTTAAGTTGACTGAGAATCACCGTCACCGTCCGCCACCACTCCCTCGCCCATTGTTGCCTCCACCAGCGACTGCCGTGCACCACACAATCAGTAGTCAGGTGTGTCAAACCACCACAATATCCACTCATTGCAGTCAGTTCAAACAGCATCTCGAAGTGAGCAAAGCTAGTAGAGCAATGATAGCGAGCTAGGAGCCATGCGTGAGTCCAGTGAGATAGGTGACTTGGGCCACGCCGTCCATAGGGCTGGGCTCACTCACTCACTCACTCACAGTGGTGGTGAATGCCCGGTCCCCAACGACCCGGCCATTGAAGTCGAAGAAGCGTGCACGGTACGGCAGTGTCACGCCCACGTCCCGCCGTGCCTGCGCCACTGCCCGGCTGTCCACTGCCTGCTCGCCCTGCGGCGTGTCCACTGCTATGAGCTGGGATAGACACTCCCACTCGCCCTCAAACACCCTGTGAGTGCGTGCGATGGGATGGCACGCATTGGATGGCACGCATTGGATGGCACGCATTGGATGGCACGGTTTCTTAGGCACCTCAAAAGGCGTCTCTCCACTGCAACGAGCAGGGATAGATACTCCTACTCGCCCTCAAACACCCTGTGAGTGCGCGCGGTGGCATGGCACGGGATGGCGTGGGATGGGATGGCACGAAATGGGATGGGATGGGAAGTATGTCATATCATGGTGTGGCGCAACACCTGCTTCTAACCAACAACTCACTACCCCTCTTCCCCACCCATCATCATCCTTCCCCCACCCATCATCATCCTTCCCCAACCCCCTCACCTAGGGTAATACACGACACGTCAGCATCCCCCAGCCCCTCACCTGGGGTAATACACGTCAGCGTCTCCAAACCCGAGACCGCGGAGAATTCGTTGACCCACAGATACGCCCTCCCCCTCGCCCACACCCACACTTCCCCCAGTCGCACTCGCACCACTCCCACCACCCCCAGCACCCGCGCTCCCTCTTTCTGCTACTGCTGCTGCTGCTGCTTTTGATGGTGGTGGGGTCAGTCCCATGGCCGCTGTCAGCCCAGCTGAGATCCCCAGAGCCAGCACCATGCGACGCGAATAACCCTCCCCCGACCCTTCCCCGTCACCTTTTCCCTCCCTTCCTCCTCCCTTCGCTGCTGCTTTCCCTGCCTTCTTCCCTGCTTTCTTTCCTTCAGCCACTCCCGTAGCCACTCCCGCAACCGCGCCCACATGTTCTGCAGCGCGAGGTTTGAGGCTTCTCGTTAATTTCTTGGTCGCTCGAAATCTCCCAAGCCTGCCCGACTCTAGGAACCTTCCTCGTTCGTTGGAGGAGGTTCGAGGCACGGCGCGGGAGAGAGCGGTATGAGTGTGCATCGTGGAGTGCATACGAGTCTGCGTCGCGCCGCGTGTGCAGCTACTAGCGGTGCGTAGCAGCGGCGACGAGTCGAATAAGTTGGCGTGAACTTGAGCCATGGCGGCTGCACCTTAGGGAAGAGCGCGGAAAAGCGATAAGCGAAAAGCTGAATTCCAAGAGCGGCAAGGAAGAAACCTGAACGGCAAGGCGGTACGATAAGAAAGAAGCAGAGAGACACCTGAGGTGCATGTGGCCCTCAAAGAAATAGCTTTACTACAGCGAGACAGAAAGAGACCAGCTGCGAGTAATTACATGTGCAACAATGCGGCGGCGATCGTACAAGCAGTGTGCTTCAGCAGCATTGCTGCATTCGTGCAGGCTGATCGGACGGTTTTGAATCCATCAATGGCCGGACCGCCTGGTAGGCTGATGGTGCTGCTGGATTCGAAATGTTGTGTGGAGGAAGCATGTGAGACGTGGCGCAAGGGGGTGGACATAGAAGTTGTCGGAACGCGCTATAGACTCGCATTCGACGATTCGATTCAAGTATTTACAGCGTCAGGCCTTCGGATCTCTATTTTTGTAACCTTTGTTTTCCCAAAGGAAGGTATCTATATAGCCTCGCGTATTTCTGTACCAGCTTCTGTTGTGAGTCGCTCATGGAGGTTCTCGAAGCAGCCACGTCTACACCTATGCGTTCCGTATCTTGTGCAGGATGATTGGACTTGCTGTAAATCCTAATCAGCACAGCTTGCACGTGTCGTTCTCTCCGTGTTCACAATCTCCGAGAATTCAGGCTCACTGTCTGCTGGCGAAGAGTCACCTTCGTGCACCAACCCAGGTAACCAGTTCAGCATCCCGCCACAGGATCGTTCACCATCGCGAGCGTGACCACTCCCACTGCGAAATTGTTCCAAGCTTCGCCCAGCATCGATTTGATTCGCCTGCATCTCCTACATGAGCCCTTTGACTTAGTTCACGCTTTCAAACCAAGTGCATCCCCCGCCATAGCCGCCATAGCTTCCCTACTGCCTGCTATTGCTTCCCTGCCTCACTCTCACTCACTGAATCAACAAGCCAAACGGCGTGGTGCACTGTTGTTCGGACCGTCAGAGCGGCTCGTTAACCCGACCCTTCCAGCTCGGGCTCGTTAACTGTCTGCTCCTAGTCATCGCACAGCCTGAAATCACCCCTGTACCTTGACAATATTCCGCCGATGGCTCAGTCAGGTCAGTCCCGATCCCGTACCGTGTTCCTTATCGCTGTATCGTCTGGTGAGCTGACTGTTGAGTCGCCTCAAAAGTCTATTCCTGCACACTCTGCTGCTGGATCTGTTAGTCACCACCTGGCGGCTCGTAGAGGAGCAGTGCCACCTTAGCCTTCCGTGATATGCCTTCCCCTCCACCTTGCTCCTTGCTCCTTTCACCTTGCACCCATGTCACCTTCTAATCGTTTCGAATCCAGGTTGCATGTTCTTTCACTTTGACGCACCCCCGTCGTTCAAAGTTTCACCAGCCACATTGACATTGTTTCACCTACTTCCTCCCTCCTTCCTCCCTCCTCCTGCCTCCTCCCCCTCCCTTCTCTCCCCTACCTCCGCATGCATCCCCCGCCTTTTCCCCCGCCTCTCGTCACCGCAGTCGCCGCCATGGCCTCGCTTTGCGCAGCGCCATCCACGGCCCTCCCCCGTGCCGGCACCATCTCGCAAGCGCGCCGCCACACTGAGAGGTGAGTGTGCTGCCTGTGCTTGCTGCGGGTGAAAGAACCGACTAAGGAACAGGCTTGTCTTCCGTCCGAAGCCGCATTTAAAAGCTGGTAGTAATCTTTTGACTTAGGAAATGCAACAGCAGCAGGAAATGCAACAAGAGCAGCCAAAACGAGCTCCTCTCTCGTGTTGCGGGTACCAGGGCAGCCGCATCCTTTCACCAGCGTTGGAAACAGTTGCTCGACAATCTTGGCCTCCAGAATAACACTTTAAGCCGTGCCGTACCACGGCCACAACTGCCTCAATTCCCCGTTCCCGCAGGGCACTCATTTCTCTTCCTTTCCCCCCCATCTGTTCCCCTCCCCAGGGCACCCTTCTCGTTCCACATCCGTGCCTCCACCAACCCTTCGTCGTCGTCCTCCTCCTCTTCCTCTGCTGCCTCCCACCCACTCGCTCGTTCTCTCACAGCAGCCGCTGCTGCGGCTCTCGTGCTGCTGCCTACCGCGTCCCTCGTGCTGTCAGAGCCTGCTCTCGGTGAGACAGGATGCCTTCTCTCCGCCCCCCTCCCTCCCTCCCTCCCTCCCTCCCTCCCCCTGCTGCCCCCCCCACCCCCTCTCATACACACACACACGCAGTTTTTCTTCCTCACCATGTTCCTCTTCCGCCCTACCTCTGCTCACCTTCTAGCAACAGCACACATTCTCTCTCTAGCCTGCATCTTCTAGCTAGCCTTCTCTCTCACCCCTTCCTTCCTCCTTTCCTCCTTCTTTCCTCTTTCTTCCGTCCCCCTCCCTCCCTCCTCATCCCCTCCCCGGCGGTGGCAGCATTGAGTGAGAGGGAGCGGTACGAGCAGCTGGACAACAACTTCATGCAGTCGCCCATTCTGAAGCAGCTGCTCAAGCAGAGCGAGGAGAACCGCGCCAAGTGAGCCGGGCAACGCGTGCCACACAGGGGGCCTGGGGAGCAGAGAGAGAGGGGGGAGGGGGGGTGTGAGGGGGGGGGCCAAGCGGGGGAGGGATGGGGTGCTTTGGGGGGAAGAGTTGGGGGGGAGAAGGTAGAGGAATATGAGACGTCGGGAAAGAGCCGGATTGGAGTATTGTGAGGTGTGCCTTTTGTTCACCAAATGTGTGCTGTTATTTTTTGGGTGTTGCTATTTGGTGTGGCAGGAACCGGCAAGAGATCGAGGACAAGTACTGCCTGCGCGGAGCTGGTATGCCGCTGCTGTGTTGCCCTCACGCCATCTAACTGTAGATGTGTCGTGGCATGACAGGGCATGGTCTGGGATGATATGGCATGCGCGGGGTATGGCATGGCATGGTAGCAGCATGTTATGACTTGCTGGCATGTCACAGTATGCATAGCATAGAGATGACATTGACATATCATTGCCATGGCACGGAGCAGCATTTAGTGTGGCCGTTGACATGTTGGCATGAAGGGCTCTTGCTCTGTTCTCTCGCTGCCTCACCCAGTCTTTTGGACATGTGCCTTTCGTGTGCTTCCTTTCCTTCCTTTCCTTCCTTTCCTTTCCTACCCTTAATCCTTTCCTTGCTCCCCTTTCTTTCCTTGCTGTGCCTGCCAGAGTGGGGCGTGGGCGACTGTGCAGTGGGTGAGGAGATGTCAGCAGATGAGAAGAAGGACTACCTGGAGGCGTTGAGGGAAATAGTGGGCAAGCAGGCAGCAGAGAACCAAGCAGAGAGGCAGGCAGCAGAGGAGTGACTTGAGTGATGTTGTCAACAGGGTATCTTTATATCTACAACCAAGTTATACAAGGGGTCTTCTGATTCATCGTGGTGTGTAGTACTGTGGTATATTGGAGCTTGTTTGCTGTGGCACAGGTATGTATGTACGGTAGCTCGCATTGACTAGCTCATGTCTGGTCATTCTCCAATTTTGGTCCTTCACTATTCATGTGCATGAATTTACAATTCATGAGGACCGAAACTTGCCCTACAGACAAGACATAGCCGCAGGCTCAAAGTTGCACTAATAGAAAACGAGTCATTTCAATAAATTTTCTCCCTGCCCAACTCCCAGCATGGATCCCACAGTGCGTATCCTGATCCCATGCTCGGCGATCCAAGCCATACAGCAGCCATGCCAGAGGGACTAGGGACTTCAGGCACATTCGGGGCAGTAGACACAGGCAGCAGCCTTCTTATCCACCTGGCACCGATAGCCCGCTGCACAGCGCACTGCAGCACAGGGGTCTGCATGGGAGAGAGGGACGACACACAGGGGATGGGGGCAGAGGGGAGCGGAGGGCAGCAGAAGGGAGCAGAAGGGAGCAGAGGGGAGCAGAGGGGAGCAGAGGGGAGCAGAGGGGAGTGGAGGGGAGCAGAAGGCTCAGGCAGCAAGTTCCATAGTAGAATATGCGCATACAAGGGGGACGGTATGCATACAAGGAGAGCATTTCGGGCAGCAGGCACAGGGTAGAGGTTCGCGTGCAAGCGTGTGACATGAGGGGCGCAGCAGAGGAGCAATGGTGGAGCAGCAAGGGAAGGAGTCTACTAGAACGAGCAGCACAGGTGGAGTTGCAGCAAGGGCAAGAAGGAGGCAGTTCAACAGTTCGGGAAAATTGAGGGTGGTGATTGTGGTGGTGGTGGCGGTGGTGATGGTGGTGGTGGTGGTGGTGATGGTGGTGGTGGTGGGGGGGGGTGGGGGGGGGGCAGGGGCGTACCGAGGCAGTCATTATTGGAGAGGATGAGGGGGTCCTGGCACACACACGTGGCCTGGCCGCCCACCACTGCGCAGTGAGCCTTATCGGGGCATCTCACCGATGCACAGTTGGTGGCCACTGGTGGGATGAGCAGGAGAGGAACGCGATGGACGCAACAATTCATGTGCATGCGATGGACGCGACGCGAGGGATGAGAGGGATGAGAGGGATGAGAGGGGTGCAGTTGGTTGGATGCGACGGGGAGGACGTGTGCGGAACACGCAGGGATGCTCAAGGAAATGAATGACAATGGAAGCCTCGGGCAGAGAAGGCATGAGAGCACAGCAGAACGCGGAGCGGTGGAGCGCGGAGCGGTGGAGCGCAGGGTAGAAGGGACTCACAGACGCATGCAGCGCCATCAAGCACGAGGGGCGGCGGGCAGATGCATTGCACCTTGGAGTTGACGACCTGGCACGTGGTGCCCAACGGGCATGTGGTGGCGATGCAGGGGTCTGCAATGGCATGTACGCATGTACGCGTGTACGCATGTACGCGTGTATGTATGCATGCGTGTGCCATTATGGAGAGGGAGAGAGTAGGTAGGGGACAGGAAATGGGCAGCCTGTGTTGAAGACAAGGGGGTGCATTGCACTGCACTGTATTGCACTGCGTTGAACTGCAATACAGCTCAATCTGCAATGCATCACATTGAATTGCACTGGATTGAATGGGCGGCGTTCCATCGGAACTGAATTGGCAGTCACGCTACAACAACCACTGCAATTCACGTAGTGATGGGGCGCATTTCAGCGCACACGCACCAATGCAGTCGGTGCCTGAGAGCACGTACGGCGCCGCGCACATGCACTGCGCCTGGCCCCCCGCCGCCACGGCGCACGCCAGCGGCGCAGCGCAGCGCACCAGCGCGCACGGGTCGGACTGCAGCGCGCGATCATCCAGAACTGCGGAGAAGGGAGGAGGGGAAGAGGGGAGGCGAGGGAGGGGAGGAGAGGGAGAATTGGAGGAGGCTGAGATTTCAAATATAAGCGAGGGAGAAGTGGCGAGGGAGAAGTGGCGAGGGAGGGGAGGGCGAGTAGAACGAGCGTCTACTTGAAGCCATACATCAGAGACTTCGGTAATTCGAAAGAGTGAGCCCGACTCGTTCAAGCGAGGTTCAAGTCCACACAGCGCGGCGCGCGGGGCAGGAGAGAAGCCATTACTACAACTACTTCTACCAGTACCAGAGACTGCGTTTACCCCCTCAAACGCGGCTTCGGCTTCGGCTTCGGCTAGAGGCCTCCACCTACTGTCATGTGGCTCACCTGTGTGCCTGGCATTGGCGGCATTGCACGCGGAGAAAAGCGCAAGAAGAAGCAAGGCGACATGACGGGACAGGGACCAGAGAGCCGACGCCATTGTCGGAAAAGGATCAGTGCGCTCCGGTTACAGGGATACAACGCGAAGAAGTCGCAACGCGAGCTGAAATGGAATGCGAGGCGGGGAATCAATTGGTTGGATTGTGGGCTGGGAGTTCTGCTCTTTAAAAAATGCTGCTTTCAGAAGTCAGTGAAAATGTGACCGGACGAGGAAGCGAGGTACAGTCGCTGGCGTCGTGATTAATTCGGCTGCTTGTAGTTGTGGAGCAGCCAGGCAAACAAGTCGGATTCGCGTTGGGAAGGCCCGCACCACCACTACCATGCCCGTCACGAAGTGGGGAGGGGGGAGGGACTCACTTCTGGAATGGAGGGGTCTCGGCTCGAATGTACATGACTGAGTTTTGAGCGTCTCGTCAGACCAGGCCGCCAAAGTCAAGAGATTTGGCGTTTTCGAAATGCTTCTGACAAACTGTGGCTCCGAAGGTTGCGGAAGCAGCAGGAGCTAAACGAATCCCAAATACACTGTATTTCTCAGGTGATCCCATAAACACAATCGGAGGATGGACGAAAAAATTGCACACGGGATTCACAAACGAGAAGTATCCTCCCAGTCAATGTCCTACACGAGGAATGTAACTTCATAGAACCAACGTGCAAACATGAGTGAAATTGAGATTGGTTTTTCCTTGTGAAATAGTGAAATATGAAAATAGCAGGCGCCAACCCGATCAGTCAAAGCAAGCAAACAAGGACAATGGTTGCAAGGAAACGAGAATGAAAACCGACGTTTTGTCCACTGCACGCATATCAGAAGGTTGATCCCTCAGGTGGCTGCTGTATCTTGCGGTTGTGACCTGACGCCATCTCACGACGCAGCTCAGTCAATATGGTTTCCATGGTGTGCTCTCGACGCCACTGTGCCAACAACGGAAAGTGCTTCGGCTCAACCTGTGAACCAGCAAGTGGGAGATGAAGAGAAGATGTCACACTTACACAAAGCTCAACCCAGCACATCATAGATGATACATGATGCTGCATCTAGAGTTTGTCGAACAAGTCACACCCCAGAAACACTGGAGTACACCAAGGGACATCTGAATGTTACAAAACACTCATTAGGGTAAAGGCAGTTCTGGGTTCCGTAGAAATTACTTACCACACCCGTCTCCTGGTTGACACAATGCATGTTGATGCGTGAGTGGAAGCGCACAGTGGGTGGCCGTTCCGGGTAGTCCTTATCACAGTAGAGCTTCACTGTGTAGATGCGGCCCTCATGCACAGACTGCAATTGCACACAGATCGAACTAATTAGAGCACGAGGCAAGAGCAGTCACGAAGAAGAGCCCGGAAAGGACATGCCATCACCAACGACCATTCAAGCAGCAGCACCACAGGCACAGCACCATAAGAAAGGTAAACAAATTCCGGCGGAAGCATAACGAAAGCCAGAAACATCAGCAGTTACGAACAGCCGGTATGCTGACAGAGGGCCTTACGTTGTTCGGGCCAATGACGGTTCCCGTCCAGGATCGCATGTAGATGTCGTCTGCATCGTCCATGCCGTAGCTCACCGAGCCATCGCCGATACCTTTCTCCCCTCGGTCCAGCTCATCCAGAAGCCGGAAGCTTCTGGGAACTGGCCGATAATAAAACGGAAGGTATGGAAACAGAAGGATACGTCGTTGTGGAAAACTCTGAGTGGAGCTAGGAGCCAACGAACTGATGCAATACACGGGTTGGGTGCTGCTGGATGAAAAGAACCGCAAAAGAATGTTGACGGATCGACAACAAAACGAAGCGGGAGTTGGTGATAATTTAATTGATAAATCCCCGGCATCCTGTTTAAGGGGGAAGCATAATCGTCGCGAAAGAAGAGTCGAATCAATCTCATTACGGTAACAAAAATCTTCGGGGAAAAAAGTATCATTGTGCATAAGGAAACGGCTGGCTACTTTGGGTACCAATGACATCACATGTGGTCGAGTCGGTTCTTACTCAAACCGTGATAACTTGCGCGGCGAAGGAAATCAGAGATACACGTACCTACAACTCCTGCCGAATTCATGCCTTATAAAATAGCTGGGTCAGAAGCTATGTAAGATCAAGAAGATCTCGGATCCCGGATCTTGTCGAGCAGTGGAAGTGTCAACCGGAAACCCTGAAGTAGTAGTAGTTAGATAGCGCCGGGAGAGCCCTTCCACCAACGAACGTAGATCAGAATCGCTAGGTCTCCGGATTTGCTGCAACCGAAGACTAAGGCTAGCGGAGGGCTTAGTGAGAGCGGGGACTAAGGCGAGTTAGCTGTTGCACCAGCTGATGGATGGCGTGAGTGCTGTAGGGGAAGGCAATGGATGGATGGGGTACAGTAATGGCGGAAGCAGGCTGCAGAACCTATGCCCCCCATGATGGTCAGGTGAGGTAGGGTGTTTGTCGGAACAAAAACGGGCACAACTGCTTATCCCATCTTGTTGGTTTGCCGCTTGTTCTGCTAAGCACCTCGTAAAATCGATGTTGTTAGAATGCGGGCAGTAACAACATGCAAACTTCCATCAGGTAAATTGTCACCTAATAGAGTGGGGGCAGAACATTTCTGCAATATTATGTGTTCTTGAATATTGATCGGTCTAGGCATGTAATTCAACAAAAAATTTGTATACATCCCCAATAATAGTAGCACATTCCATCACCAAATACCTCACACACAAGGATTATAGCCCACACAATCCACCATGATTATGCATGAATTTTAAAATGTAATATTCGGTATATTCGTAAATGTATAGATCAAGATTACCCCAAATACTCTTGAAAACAGGAATTCGCTTACATAATCCATTAGATTATTATATTTATTCATCCCGATGAAGTGTATCAACAGAAAGCTGCAATGTCTTGTTTCGCGCGCCGGGTGGTACATGAATGCGCCACGTGTCCTCCACATGTGCACAATTGGTGTTCTCCATTTCCTCGTCACCTGTTCAGCAGTGCACGCACGCACAGTCAGCTGATCAGGTTGACATGAGAAATTGACCTTTATTGTTATTGCTTGTAACCTCTGTGTTTCCCCTTACGGTTTCTCTAACTGCCACCGTGTTGCTAGTCATGGCAGCATCTCTTGCAGCAACTCTCGCCTCCACCGCATTCAGCTCGAGATGCCTCACCAGCTCCGTTCGTCAAGTAGACGCGGCATGCGTTGCTGGCAATCTGAAGCCACTGAAGGCAACTGTGAGGGGTGACATGCGCGCATGGAGCGGCGAGGGCGGAAACCCACCAGCGGAACGCATACTCTCTCTTGAGGAGATTCTCAGCGCCGTAAGCACGACACAGAATTCCAGCGCTGGAGAAACAATCGCAGGACTGCCCCGGCTTCATTCCTCCCCAATAGCTCACAACTTTCCACCTTCACGAGATGACTCTATTCCTCTCCCTTTCCGTTCAATCTTCCTTGCTTCTATCACCCCCGGGATGCAAACAGGCGGAGGCGGAGAGCAGCGACCTTGTATTCTCTCCCGACGACGCTGCTGATGACCAGGATGACGCCGCCATTGACAACCTGGCCGACGATCCATTTGCCTCGCGCTCACCGATCCCCACCGACCCCAACGCCCCGGCTGGTACGTCGCAATGCTTACACACTACAAAGCTGAATTCGAGTCAAGCTATGGCGAGAAATGTTGTTTTTGCCAACTTCGACTGGAGGATATGGGTCGTAGGAAGCTCACCCCTCCCGCTTCCTTGCTCCCCATCCTGTTCGTTCCTGCTCGCCCCATCAGCACAGCTCTTTCCGTCGGCTGACGACATGGAGAAGGTGCTTTCCGCCTATGGCAACGCTCCGGCAGGTAATGCTCGGTCTCGGACATGGGTCCGTTCCCGGATTCTCTCACACTCGACACAATCATTTCCCAACATGCAACATGCGCTCTTCAATTTCACACGTTCCGTTAAGGAGACGCTCCATGCATCTGTCACACTCATTTCATTACCGCACATCCCTCATTCCTCGTTCCTCTGTGCCGTGTTGCCGCTCGCCTTGGCAGCGGTAGGCGAGATAGGAGTGGAGGATCTCAAGGCGGCGCTAGAGGGGAATGCAGGCGCCGTGCCTGTGCTGATTGACGTGAGGGCGCCAGGGGACTACACGAGAGGGTAAGACGGGACCAGTGGTAGGAGGGTATCATTATGTGTGTTTGAGGGCGATAGTGTGAGGAGGAGTTGAAGCATGGACAGACGGAAACGGGTGTGATGGCACATGTGCCAGGTGG